ATCCTTCATGAAGAGTAATAATCTTACCTCCTGCTGCATAGCCCTGCAGAATCCCAATACCACAACAAAGGGAGCAAAGTCTTTGAAGATGATCTATAAGCAGTCACCATCCTTCATAGGTTTAAAGGTAATTATGAAAAAAAAAAGTATTATCTAGTTAGTTTAGGGAGCATTTTAGCTCTCTGGATATTTGTCATTCACATCCCACTTGCTTGCCGAGTGTCTTTAATGTCACATTCGATAATTCCCATATTCTGTTTTTCAAGTACAGTTTTGAACAATGAGTGAAGTGGAATTGCACTCTTGCAGATGTATTTTCCAGGTAGCAGTTTCCAAGCCCTGCTCAACTCTTGGCTAGTGTTTACAAGGAAGGGAGAGTCCTCACTCCTATTTTCAGGGATGCTGGCTAGCAGATGTATTCAGGATCCCAGAAGTGTTGAAGCTAAGAAACATTTCTGCCCAAACGGGAGCCCTGGACAAGAGTAGACATTTTGTATGTTGTGTGCTTCTTTTGTACTGTTACAAGACTGGCATATGTGTGATGACTGGTATGAGAACATAGTAGGCAATGTCATCCTTTCCCATAAAAGAAACTGCTGAAGGACTGAAAGACCCAAGTCAGAAGAAAAATCCAGAGCTTTCTGATCTGCTAAAGTCTTGAACTGCAGAATTAGCTGCCTTCTGTTCTCACTGTATCCAGTACAATTTTGTGTAGGGACTCACAACTTGTCTTCTGATCTTGAGGATTTCTGTGTCCTCCAGCAATGCAGCTCTCTCAGGAGTCAAGCTTTCATCCACCACATCCACTGCACCATTAAGGTGTGGAACCCAGCTGCTCTATAGTGACCAGCAACACCAGGCATCTTTTGGAGCACATCATGGCCTCTGTATTTGCTTCCAAAAGAAGACAGAGTGCGTTAGTTAATGGTGCAAACCCAGCTTCTGTCACAGTTTACATCCAGGCCATGGCTTGAGTATAGATTCATGTGTGGGAAATGCCATGCACAACTGTCCACAGAGTAGACAGCCATTAGCTCTGTGTCAGCCTTAGTGTTTGCAATCTGCCTGTGAAGAATAGTCCATGTGAAAAAAATCATTATTGAATTGATCTTTCTTTACCCAGCAAGGAGTTCTGAAACTTCACCAGAAAGATTCTCCTTCTGTGGATCTTCCCCTATGCAATTCAGAGGCCCTGAAAAAGGATCTTCAAACCAAAGTGCTAACCCCAAGGGGTACTGCAGAATCATAGAGACTGTCAGGCCTGTGAGGGAAATTCTTGTTTTTTTCATCAGCTGTCAAAGAGTGGAAGGGCTTGTTTATTGGGAAAAACTCCAAGATGGCAATGTAAGAGTGCACAGAAGGGTTGTATCCATGCTGAGCCACACCAGAGCTTTCAGCAAGTCACACCTCCATGTTCCCTGATACCTGATGCAATTTGTGAATTATTAGTAGGGCCAGGTCCCTAACAGTCTCCAGGTGTGATTAAGCCTTCCATATACTGTTTTTAGTTCTTGCAAGGTCATTTCACTTCTAATGAATACTGGTTTTGCACATGCTCAGCTGTGCTCTTGTCCTTTAATGTGGTAACTGACAGATGGTAGCAAAATATTCCTTTTATAATGAAATCTGTTAAAAGATGCTGCTTAGGACATCAGAAAATAGTGCATTTGCCAAATAGAAGACAGTCTCTAGGAAAAAAGAAAAAAGAAAAAAAAGAAAAACTAATGCAGTGTATCTTAAGTAATTTTTCTCAGTCACCTAGTGATTATTATCTTTTGCTCATGTCAGAGAAGTGACCTAACTGTTTGCTTCCATTCAGAGTTTTTTTTTCCTACTAACTAATGCCTCTTCCTTTATATTCTTAAAAAATCTTGCTTCTGTTAATTGTAGTAGTGCCTCTAAAAATGTGAAAATTAACAGCAGGAGAACAAGTCATACAGGCTTCACAGCTACCAAATTGGTACCTACAGTGTGTAGTCAGATATCTAAGGTTTTCATTTATAATTAGCCTAGTTTCCGGATGAATTATCAGCTGAGTCTTTTTTTAGACACAGGCCCATTTCTCTGAAGTCATTGTTAATTCCTATCAAAATTGCTATTGAATCCTTTGTCTGACCACTCACAGCTGCCCTGGATTTTCTCGTGGCCTGTGCAAGTTTGTTTTGGTAGCTGAATACATCAGAATTGTCCAATTTGTCATCTTTTGAGACAATGGAAGTCTTGGAGGACAGAAATGTCTTGTTTTAAACTCTTCAAAAGCCTCCAACCTCCCTCTTTTGCTGAGTAGCTGCCTTTGCCACTCTTGTTTTCCTCAAGATCCCCTATAACCAATTTTTCACTGTTCTGTTCTCCACACTCACCTACAACTAAGGAAGACTTGGTGTGACTTCCTTTAGCGTCCATTTACACTGTCCTATAAATCATACAAAATGTTCTGCACAGGCTCAAATCTATCCATTAACTGAGAATCCATCTGTTCGTTGCTCCCAATGGGAATATGGTTTCTTTCTCTGCATCACTGCTTGACAAAACTTCTAATCCCATCTGAAACTGCTAGTGTGTTGTGTTTGGAGCCTGTTATATCAAATACTCATCTCTCTGTTCTCTCCTTCCCCTCTCAGGAATTGTTATTTTTAGACTGCTTTTCTATCTCCTACGGAGTCAAAAGTTACATCTTAACCTGTGCAAGCTTTGGTGCCATATGTTGCTCAGCTCTTCTGCTCTAGTATCCGGAAATTTGCCATCCAGCTCAGTTATTCTGGTCCATGACCCCCTTATCATTATTTCCCCTATGGAAAAAAATAATTTGAATTTGAATTCATTTGAAATTCATTTGAACATTTATATATATATATATATRTATATATATATATGTGTATATATATATATGTATATGTATATATATATATGTATATATGTATATATATATATGTATGTATATATATGTATGTATATATATATGTATATATATATGTATATATATATGTGTGTATATATATATGTATATATATATATATACACACACACACACATACATACATACCTATATATGTATATATAAAAAAGGGACAGAAAATAGTTTCACCTGTTTCTGCTGGTATAATATACCTTGTTCATTACAGCATTACAGGATTGTTAATGTCAATGTGATTTTCCTGACAGAGAGCTGAGGCACTGTGTTATTTTTGGAGTCCCTCTCTGCAGCTCTCAAACTGCAGACTTTTCCCTACCTGTGAGTATCTAAATACATGCTATAAAGTTCCCTTTGTAGCCAGTAAGGAAAATGAAATAGGCACCTCTAATAGGTAATTTATTTCATAATGAGTCAAATAACTAAAATATGTCACTCTAAAATTGTTGATTTCCATTGACTGAAAGGCAGCGTAGGGTGAGCATCTCTGACATACACAGCTACACACAGATGTCTCCATCTGGCAAGGAGACCTGGCTCAGTTGTCCAGTACAGTTGCAGCAATCCTGAGGTGATTCGATGCATCTAACTCCCTTTTCACTGTGAGCTAAGGTCAGTCACAGCCTCGTGTTTGCTGGAGGCTCAGGATACACGCACTCAGATGCACACACAGGCTCTTAGCTGACACATGGCAACTTATTCCACTTCACAGCGTGCGGGAACGTTTGAACCCACAGAGCATCTGAGCCATCAGGCGCTGTGTATCGGGCAGCTGCTCAGTGGAGGCAGCCTATAAAGAGCACGGAGAACATTACCAGGGTAGAAGAGGGGCAGGTTAAATTGAGAGAAAGGAATTGCCTCACTCTTCTTGCCATTCTCAGACTGCAAAGTCCAACTGGGACTTGAGAGAGAATCTCTCCTTTACTGATAGAAAAGTTTTCCAAGAATTGTGGATCAAAGCAAAATCCCAACTGCATGTTCTACATTGGCCCTCTCATTAAACTAACTGGTGCAAATCTGCCTGCATTTAAGGCTACTGGGACCCGTGTCCTTTCCAGCTGCATACAACATCCCTGGTCTCCCACAGCCAGCAGTGGAGCATTCCCACATTCCCACTCAGCCCCACTCCACACCATCATATCCTTAGCCCTATGCTCTGTACCTCCCAGGTTTTGCAAGGAACTGCTGAGTATTTCACAGAGCAGATGCAGCAGCATGAGTCACTGCCTCACCAAGGAATGAGTTCCCATCAATTGCTCCATGGAAACAGCTCATGTATATGCTCAGATATTGTATGATGCACTTGGAGGCCACTTACATGCCTCTGAAATAGAGATAATTTGTTTACTTCACATGAGCCCAGGAGAAGAGCACTCTGTCGCACAAACTGCTGGGGTATTTCTGGTGAAGCACCTAGCATGTGAGAGCTAAGCTGGGCTCAGGCCACTGGGCTCTGCAGAAAAGGGAGCTCAAAGCAGGAGCCTTGACTTGCTTCTCCCTAAGGATGGCTCTTCTTAACTCTCAAAACAAGGTAACTGCATACAAGCCACCTATTAGCAATGCTTCCTGAAATAGGATGGCTCCCAAAATGTGCCTGTTTGGGCCGCTGTTTGGGACAAGAACCTGCACCATGGCAGGTACTAGTATAACAGCATAGATGATTATGCTCTAGTAGCTGGAAACATTGCTATTGACTGTTGAGTTTACTCTTATAGCTGTAACTGAATGTTTTCAGCCACATTCTCTAGAGGCAGTCTATGTTCACAGCTTTAATAGCAAGAAAACTGGAGTTTTCTGACCATTCCTAGACATTATGGTACATTTTTCAAGCCATTCAAATGAAGACGCTCTAGCAACAAAGTTAGTCTTTACCCCCATAAAAGAAAATCCTCTTTCAGCAGCTCTTGGGGAAAAAGTGCTTCCAAAAATGTGTTAATATTCTGCAAACAAATCAATTATTTATAATTGTCTTGTCTTTAGATGTAAATTAAAGTAATGATCTCTTTTACAGAGTTGAAAGGAAGCAGAGAGGTTTAACTCAAGTAAATGAAATCTACATGAGCACCTGTTTTCTTTTTAAACTTTATAGGAAATCAATGTATTGACAGTAGCGTTGGTCAACCAAGACAGAGAAAAAAATTCAGAGAAACGAAGCCCCGGTCTAAAATCAGAGAAAGAAGCACTTTTAATAGGTAAGATAACCAAAAAGAAGATTGTTAACAAATCATCTTTTAGCAAGTTTTTGTTTTGCATATGTGTTGATGTGCATCCTTGCTTTACTAAAAGAAAAAAAAAAAAATTTAGTCCAGACTTAGAATCATTTGGGCTAACAGAAATCCTGAAATACAAGTGAACTTCTAGCTAAAAAATCTGCAGACTTTAATGAAAGGACTTGGGATGTGAAGAATAAATTCAGGATCTATATTTAGATTTATATGAAGACTGTATTTACACTGAAATTTAACAGGCTAGAACTGTATAACTTGTCATCTGATCATCAGATAAAATACTGAAGGATAGAGGGATAGCAACTATATTGGCAAACTATCAAGCAAAAATGTGTGTAGTGGAAGCATTAAACAAGCCAGATTTATCCTTTTGACATTACATGAGGGAATTAGCAGTATGAATACCACAAAAGCTGCCACATCATTTACCTAAAATAAAACCTTTAAAAGAAACTTCCAAGAGTGCCACTTTTCCTAATATTATAGGAAAGCTTTGAACATCCTGAGCTGGGAAGTTTTAGGCGCATACATTGCAAATGCAATGCCACTGGCAAAATGTGATTTGAATACAAATCGGATTTCTAATCAGACCATCCAAGTGTGATGGTCTTGGCTTCTGCCTCAAGAGCACTTGAGCATGTGCCTGTGGTCACGCAGATCATGAGGAAGGCAATGGCTGCTAGGACTTGCCAAAGAATAAACACACGATTTCTGCCTTTGCAGGGTCGTAAGTTTGTAAATGCTATTGGAAAAATGAGGGTGAAAAGAAGGTGCACTTTGCAAAGCCGATCTAAAATTAGTTTAGTTTTGCTTATCATTTTCAGTCATTGCCAGTATTTGGGAAAAACTGAAATCCAAGATTATCCTAATTCATTCAGCATCAAGAATGCCGAATGGCCTGCAGTACACAAGATACAGTGACCCATTTTTGTCATTTGTAAGCGTTTTTAATCCTGGTGTTTACGCTTTAAATATAAGGAACTTCCCCTAGGGTGGTTCATTTAAGAAAACCATCCAAAGAGAGTTGAAAATATTTGCTCTGATTCTTACAGTTCAACTCTTCCCAAACAGCGAGTATCACACATGTCATTTTCTATTCTCACTGTTTGTTTAAAGAAGGATAAATTGGATAACGCTTTTAATAGTAATTCCAATATTCTCGATCCTGTTTGTTCTGGTCATCACTATTGTGCTGACAGTTGATTTTTACTGCATAAAAAAAATCTTCAGATGTTGGTCCTCTCTCCTCTCAGACCACTTTTATTCCCATACCTTTTATATGAGCCTGTAAATAACAGTGGAGACAGGCATAACTGTCTCTCTTTTAAGGAAGAATAAATAAGCAAATATGTCAGAAAGGATTTGTGCTTTCTTCAGCAGCAGTTGTAGTAATATGGATTAAACACTTCTCACAACCTGCATCAGTGTAATTACTAGAATAATTTGAGGGAGTGAGTTTTCTGACACAATTATATGAAACATTTTCAAAACAGAGCATCCGTTGAAGAGGAAAAAAGCAATAATTTTACCATTACAATATCCACAATTTTATATTGGTAAATCAAGCATAAAATTGGTAGTTGAAATGCTTCCAGCAAGTCTTTGTTTAGAAATTCCTTTATTCATCAGTATATTATCTTGGTCACTTACTTTCTAACTGCTGTCATTCCTGAAGATGAGCTGTTGTGCTTACCACATTATGACTGTATTAAAAATGGGTCATTTTCTTATGTTTATTGGGTTGTATAAGAAAATTAAGGAACATAATTCTTGCTGGAAAACTTGCGAGAACAAACAATTCAGAATTATTTTGCTTATTTTAATGATATATTAAAGGTGACTATATTAATCATATGTTAAAGGTTTGAGGTAATTTCACTACTATGGTTTTGTTTTTAATACAGGTATCATATCCACATTTCTTCATGTCCACCCTTTTGGAGCCAACATAGAATATCTTTGGTCTTATATGCAGCAGTTGGACTCTAGGGTAAAAAGATTTAATCAAAATCTGTTTTCTCTATAGAAATATTGTATTATTCTTTACTGCAGGTTAAACTCTTCTCGAGTTTCCATTAGAAAGATAATGGGATATGGGGCCTGGGGGTTTGCAGTCCTTATTCATTCACAAATTACAATGCACACACCTGTGTTGAAGTCCTTTGCTTTGCATTGCTTAAATATTAATTGCGGCAAAGAAGAATAGAGTTTTAAAAGGCAAAGATTAGCAGCTGATTTTATGACACATGACTCTGAAACACAGCTGATAAGACAGAAAGCAGAAAAAGAGGAAAGAGAAGCCATGGCCACTGAAAGATGGAGAATTTTAGGAGAGTATTCCTTTTTCTTCTAAAAGTTGTTGGTCATGAGACAAACTGAACATGTGAATAGTCATGAACATGAACCATGAAAAATGCCCTTCCTCCTCACAGAGAAGCTGGGAGACTTGATAAAGAAATTGGCTGATCTATTGCTAAAATCAGAGAAGCTAAGGCCAACACACAAGTGAGGCCAACACACTGCAGTGCTCAAAGTATTTCCTAATCACCATACAGTTCATACAGTCTGTCGTCAATAGGTACCATTAGGACATGATTCGTTAGACTTTCAATATCTACTGTAGGATGAATCAAGCCCCAAAAGCCTTCATTTATCTTCACTAAATATAAAGAAAATGAGAATCATCACCATCAAAGACACCTTGATCAGATGAATGCTACTCTAAATGCTAAACAATAGCTCTGCAAAGATAACTAGAATATAAATGTTTCTCTGATAATATATTTCATTGAGTCGCTATACAATGGCATTCTTAATACAGTTTGGGTCAAATCCTATAGCCTCAATAGGTCTCCTATCTCTCTTCTCCTTGAGATGTCCTCGACTGAATTGGAGCTGGTTAACAAGCTCTGCTAAACCATAGCTCTGATCCACCATAGACGTCTGCCAATACTTCTCCTGCACACAGGGATGACGGTGCTTGCTCAGATCTTCTTGTGATATGAAGTCAGGATGCTTCTGTTTGTGCACCTGTGCTCAGAAAGCAAGTGGTAGTCCTTATACCCTGCTAGTCAGATCCAGCTCTACTCATCCTGGTAATATTTGGCTCCCTAGTACTGCCTCCAGCCTTTCCACCCATAGCTAAGATAACCTCCAGCTACCTTGATGGACAGATTCATGGCTCTGAAGGAGGCAGAGGAGATCATTATATGGAAGGCCATTGGAAGTAACAGAGGTAGATGGAGGAGGGAGGATGAAGGATAAACCTCTTTGCACTTGCCTTTGTGTATCACAGCTCAGATTTGCTGGTGCTTCACAGTCCACTGCTAACAACAAAAAGAGGGTAGTAAGGAAAGATGAGAAGTCTGAGAATTTAAATTAAAAAAGGATCTTATTAAATCATGATAATTCTAGAGATCTTAACATCTGGGCCTGCAGCACTTCCCCTTCTGCTTCGTTACTCTCTGTTTCAGTCATGCAATGCATTTTCCTTCACCCTGACACCAGTTCCTGCAGCACCCAATCTGGCAAATCTCTGTCATCCTTCAAGTCCTACCTTAACCCACAATCTTTTGGCTAAGTTTCAACTGCTTGTCCCTCTCGCTGGCTGCCCCTCTTCCTCAAACATTTTAACTAGTGTATCCTTGGACTACAGTCCTGCTTCTCCTTGCTTCTGTGGACTGAGCTCTGCTTTACCCTCCTCAGTGCTGCAGTCCCTCCTTGTGTGTATCTGTGGGCTCTGACCTTGATTTTCCACTTGTGAGAGCAGCCTGTTGGCTTCAGTGATGCTGGCACGGTCAGACCTTTACCTTGTGAATGGAGTCTTCTTGGATGGGGCCTTTGTCTCACTCCCTCTGAGATGCCCAGTGACCTTGCCATGTAGCTACCACTTGACCTACCTGCTGCATAATAAACCTGTGCAGCAGAATTGACCTCACGGCTTTATTTTGGAAGCAAGTGCTTGTAGCAACAAATTGCAACCTAATAGTGTAATCCTGAGATGTAATCTCGGAGATTAATTTCAATTATTTTCCATGGTTAGCCTGTCATTTCTCACCTAAACAGGAATAATAAGGTCAGCATGCCTATGTGGGCTGAGGACTCGGTTTGGAGCTCAGAGTCATTACCTAAAGGTAACCAGTCATCAGTTACTGTCATAAGAGTGTGTAAAAGATCGACCTGATTACTTTGGAGCTCCAGATTGACTGCTTCCAACACTGATTTTTAGTGCCACCTCTAACAAATTATTTAATCTTTCTGCCTCGCTAACCTCTGTAGGAAAATAAAAAGTGACAGATATTTCCTCGCCTCCCTTGGGTCAAATAAGGTGTAATTAGCACGCTTTATGTTTATACACTGCTTTTAAAATGAGACTCTCCACCATGAAAGTGTCTTGCTAATACCAATAAGCAGAAATGTCATCATTGCCATGAAGCCAATCAAGCCACAGATATATCTGTAGCAGCAGCAGCAGAGGCTTCTTTACTATACTTTGCATGACCATTAATTTAGAATAAGTAGCTGCAGGATCAGAATGGTTCATTTTCCACAGCCATTCATTTCTTGACTACCAAAAATGATTATCTTTGTGAAAGTGTTTTCTGCAGTGAGAGCATGTTTCTCAGTAGGAATGTGATCAAGTATTAAGGTTTCGAGACCATTAGAAAATACTCTGAGTCATACTGAGTCAGGATCTTCACTGACCACTTATCTAGGGCTACTAAACAGGGCTAAACTGGGACAGGATGACTCCACCTAGTCCCTAAGTAATGAAATAAAGCTGATTAAAATGAAGTCTCTATTTTAGTTTCTTTTTTTTTTCTGAAAGAAAAACTAATAGAGCTAGAAGTAGACGGATTTAACAGCCGATAAGAAGAGAAGGAAAAATAAGGTCTGATTTCCTTCCTCCTCAACATGAGTATGCCTGAAACGATAGGTCTTAGACGGATTTCACACAAATAAATTATGACAGCAACCCTAAAATAACAATATCTCCCCACTATTATCATTCTTTTACAGTGGGATTCTGCTTACACAAACAAAATTATTCCTGCAAGGAATTTACACTTGCTTTGGCATTTCAAAAGACATGTGTCAGACTAAGGTTAAAAATATTAATAACGATAAGCTTTGTTTTCCTCGTCCCTGGATTTTTTTTTTCCTTATTTCTATTCTCTGTGTTTCTTCTTCCCAGGCTCCAGAGCAGTTTCTCACTTTATTTTTAACTTTCTCTCTTTCGTAGATCTCTGCAAATGAGATAGAAATGCTTTTGATGAGACTGCCACGCATGTTTAAGCAAGAATTCACTGGTGTAGGAGCAACACTGGAAAAGAGGTGGAAATTTTGTGCCTTTGAAGGAATTAAAACTATCTGACTGTGACTAGTAATGAAGCTATGCAGAATAAGAATTCCTAGAGCATGGCAGGGTTACAAAGTATTAAAGTAAGAAATTTGGGTTTTGGCACATAGTAGTATGTTTTCAAAGTTATCCGAGCCTAATTTTAGTTACATTTGTGACGTTCTCTTGTGAGTGGAAATGTAGTTGTGCACCAGTTCCTAAAAAAAAAAAAAGAAATATTTTTTTTTTAAAAAAAGTTTCCAAATGTGACAGATTTGTTTCCTATGAAAACTGAAGAAAGATGCCACAGTCATAATGATTTCAAAATGCTACATGTCCTACATCTAAGAAAAGCTCATTGAGCAAACAGTTAAGGAGAAAGATTGCCCAGTTATGGTCGCTAAATTACAGCAATGTAAATGTAATATGTAGTAGAGCTCATTAAATTACGTTACTGAAAGTTCTTTCCATTTAGTAAGAAAATTAAGTAATTTTACAGTGAGGAAAAGCATACCAAAAGAAAACTTGAAGATGTGTCTGAAGTTGTTGTATTTTGTAAATTAAGTTATATGCCGTACCAGGGATTTTTGCCTTATTGAAAGAGGCCTGAAAATGTGATTGGAGTCCTCAAGAATGCTTTATCAAGAATATTATTTTTCTAATGTAACTATTCTCCATTACAAGTTCTTTTAACATGGATTGCATATCAATTTTCATAAACATGTAAATAAGGAGGAAACCAGTGTTACTGTATTGTATTTGGTATGTAACATTCAGGTTTATGCATCAAAATAAATATTCAGTTGCATTACTGTTACAAATTTTATAGCAGATATATTAATTTTTATCAATAAATATGACTTCTACCATATTGTTTGTGAGTTTTTCTTCTCATGTTTTTGAATTTTTAGCAATTCGGTAAGAATCTCCTGGTGTTTGACTTTCTGCTACCTAAGCTGTTAATTGCAAATGTCTTGGTTAAATTCATTGGGAATCAAAAAAGATGCTGCAATTTTAGTTAGGATGAAAAGAATTACAGTTATTGCTGGAGGAAACACCAGCATGGTGCTTTGCTGAGTTGAATATATTTTGCTTGTTTTTGCAGACAAGGAGCCAGGTTGAAAGCAAAGCAGCTTTAAATTTCTCATTTGCAGTGTTATATTGGGTCACCACAATGCATCCAATTAGTTATTCCTTTTAACTCCTGGCTAATGCTTTTGACCTTTGGCCAAAAAGCAGGTGAAACAGTGGACTTCTAATGGTAGAATGGTTAAATGAACAAGATGAAAGGTAGGGCCATTTTCCTCATTATCCTTTAAGATTTACTGCCAAACGCACAGTACTCCAACACTCTTCTAGGAGCTAGCAAAAGGAAAAAGGAAAAGCATCTTGTGTATAAACCAAACTGGAAGAATATGGAAGGTGTCTCAGCTCCCAGAGAATCACTCTGAAGAAATACCTCAGCACAGCACTTAGCATTAAATGAGGAAGAGCACCCTCACCAAGTCACAGCGCGGCGTGGGCAGAGGAGCTGGCCCCACCAGCAGTCTCTGAGCAGCAGGACAGCCACAGCAGGAAACAGGGCAAACCCCAGCAGATGCAGGGAGGACCCAGATACACCTCAGAGTGCTGCTTCTCACAGGTTCCTCAGTAAGAGGAACCTCAATTAGTGTCAAATGCAATTAGTCATGAAGGAGCACTGTTATATGGCTGCTGGTAATTACTGCTTTAGGATCTCTCTGGCATCTACCTAGAATATAGAAATATTAAATGAAATCTTAACTGTGAGCAAAAGGTAGAAAGAAATAGACTTAGCAGAGCTATTATGGAAGAAAATTATGCTTTCAGCCAGTACACACAAAACTGTTATTTTTAAGAACATGCACCTCTATTATGGTTGCTTCAGTAACTGTATTAAGGCAAGTTACTCAAGTGAAGCTAATAATTATATGCCAGTTATGTTAATGAAAATTAACTAGTTCAAGCCAAATAGTTTTTTTTTTTTTTTTTTTGTGATCATCCAGATCTATGAATAATTCAGGGAAAAAATGTGGTAGTTCTGACAGTTTTTATTTAAGTACTATAACATAAATCTGTATGGATGGCACTTAGAATGGGGAAAGGAATGTGTGAAAACTTTCACCTAAGCTTTTTCTATGCTGTACTTACTCATTACATTCTTTCCTCTTCTCTTTGTCCTTATGTCTTCCTTTTTGTTCCCCTTCTTTAAATTATCCCTTCCCCCATAAGGCTGCATCCATCCCAGGTAGCTGCAAAACATTTTTAAACTCACATAAACTCACATCACTACTTTTACTCTGCTTGTATTTTCTACGCCTTTTTCTTTTGTAGGTCTCCTTGCTTGTCTGTACCATAAGCACTTAAAGAGAAGGAAATTTTAGTTCTTTTGGAGGATCAAACAAAAGAGAACCTTCTTGACTGGCCTTTCGATACTATCTTAAAAGATCTAAACATTAGGACTAAAAAGCATGCAGTCATCCTGCAGTATTATAAAGTATGTCAGTCATCAATCTATGTTTATCCATGTATTTCATTTTGCCAGTTGGAATGGGAATGTCAACTGAGAACCTGAAACTAGTGGTGAACCTCAGCAGGATCAAGCTGGACCCCAGAATTGGCCTTGAAGTCAAGTGGTCAGTAGCTTTGGAGAAAATGGATGAAAATGCTGTTCCATCAGTTAGAGGGAACAGGGAGGGAAGAGGCCAAAGAGACAACACAGCTAACCAGATATAACCTAAGAGGCTAAAGAAACAACCAGGCTAGCCAAAAGTTCAAGAGCTGAGCCTATGCAGTGGCCTGGCACACAGCAACAAGATAGGGCAGAAAGCTCTAGTGACTTCTTTTCAGTGGTGGCCACTGATAAGACAAGAGGATATGGCCACAAACTGAAGCACCAAAAGTTCCATAGGAAAATAAGGAAAATTTCCTTGACAGTGAGGGTGACTGAGCAGGACAGGGAACAGGTTGCCAAGAGAGGTTGTGGAGTTTCCTTCTCTGGAGATCTTCCAAACCCACTTGTGCCATATGCTGTAGGTGACCCTACATGTTCACCTGCAACCGGGAATGTTGTACTAGATGATCTCTAAAGGTCTTTTCCAACTGCAATGATTCTATGATTCTCCTCAAACAGGGACCGGTGTAGCAGAAGGTCTGGTTTCCTACTGACCAAACATGTCAAGGGTATTTGGCAAGAAGCAGGAGTTCATCTGGCCCAAGCTCCTGGTCCATTTTGTGGACCATGCATTTTGTGCCCACAGAAGATATGTTCTGTGATGAAAACTACATTATCCCCACAACAGAAATAGGAAATCTCTAATACCACATTTTGCTATTGCACATAGTGGAAGCTAAATTCATGCATGTCTCAGGTGAAACTTGCTTGTTCACAACTGCCAAACTATCTCACTCACTTATGGAATAGCTATACTGAGATTTAGAGAAAATCCCCTATCCAGCTACACTACATTTAGTTTAAACATCCTATACAGTAAATGCTACAGAATCTAAAGCTCTATATCTTTGCTTTAAAGCAAAGTCAAAATTTTTATTTTGCAGGAATTGTTTTATTTAAAATAAGAATAGTTTTGAAACTCACGATGTTCGTTTGACAAAAATGTTCAGCACTGATCTGGGTTGAATTGGGAAGATATGTAGGGAGATTTGCCATGAGAAAGAGGAGAAAGGACTTTTTTTGGGGGGGATATATTCTTGTGCCTCCAGTCAGGTCAGCTATAGGACTGATGCTTGTTTTGTATCATGTTCTGTCTGTCTCTCTGAAATGGGAACTTAAAAGAGAATGTCAGGGTTTAACATAACATGTGAAGTGTGAGGATTTTACTTTTTTTTTCCCTGTAAAACAGTGCAAGTTTTCCAGTCCCTTGCCGTCATTACCTATATGAGATCTGTGGCTATTTTCCCTTGACTTTTCCATCAAAAAGACCACTCTAAAAGAAGTATCAGCAAATTATTTCTCGTTCTGTTTTGTAGATAGTTCTGTAGTCAGTCTCCTCTGGCAGCAATTGGTGAGATGCTTAGGAAAATCATCCTACATTTATTGGCATTAAGTTTTCAGAGAGGACAAGATCTGAAAGAAGCTGTTCCTCCTCCCAGACAATCTGAGAGCACAGCCTGCCTGCCTCCCTGCTCAGAGATCCAAATAGTGACTATTTACTTACTGAGCTGAGTGTTTCTAAGGCAGGTGAATCAATGAAAAATTAGTCATCAAGAAATAATGTTGGTAAGGTACAGATCTCCAACCTACATAAAAATTGCATATATAGGAATCCTACTTTGAAGCAGCAACAAATGGGCAGGAGCAGAGTTCTTATTGATCGAGCCTTTTGTTGCCCGCTGGATAATAAACTCTATGTCCATTCAGACTTCATTGGCTGACTCCAGTGTCATACAGGATCCCAGCGGGGACATGTGGGCCACAGGAAGAGGAAAGAGACTGGTATTCCTGTAAACCCAACAAAGTGCACCCCTGCAATCCTGCAACATCCATATCATAACCATTTTTTTTCAGTTTTCTAGCTAGGAAATACTTCTTACCAATATATGCATTTTTGTAGACATAACATTGAAGCTCATGGGGACTGCTTGTATTATAGCCATGTCACAGTTAATTCTGTAGTAATCCCAAAAGCATATGGTTGATTAAAACACATCTTCCATAAAAGGACCTAGACTTAATCAAAGTGATGGAAATGATTTTTTTTTTTGGCTAGGTAGCTCTTTGGTAGAAATTTGTGTTGTTAAAATTGTGTCCCTAACTCCTAATTTGTTTTTTTCTGGCTTTTGCTTCTAGTCAGTTTTGCTTTACTCTGCAAGTTCGAATAATCCTTCAGTAGAACATATTTTCTCCTTGTGAAGATATTTGTACATTGTAGTCAACTTCTCAGTATTCTTTCTCATAAACTAAACAGATTGAGCTTTTAAGTGTCTCGCAGTAAAACATTTCTCTTCCTCAAATCATTTTTGTGGCCTTTTTCTAAAATCCTTTCCAAATTTTCAACACCTGCTTTAAAATGTGAGCAGAAAAGCTGTAATGTGTGTTAGACTGATCAGTCCCCTATACAGATGTGAAACTGGGTCCTTGCTCCTACTCACATCTTTGCTTTCTTCTGCTATTGGATTAATAGCTAATCACAAGCGTCAAAACTGTAGCCCAAATAAATTGCTGTTACATCATCTCATTCACCCAACTTATGTAACAGATACCTTTGCATAAATGCATCTCTGTATGCCACAATCAAGTTTTTCAATCCTCAATAATAGGCTTGCTTGTGTAAGAGCAAAGGTCCTACCCCATCATGGTATCTGGGGTCTTAGAGCCCGTGCATGGCTTTCAGTATTTGCCTTTGCTTTGAGCAAAGTCTGGATAATTCTGTTTATAGCCTTATATGATTAAAATGGAGTAATCAGATCTGCTGTCAGGATGTGAGCTGATCACATCAAGCATTCAGAGCGCACTTGCTTAGGCTTTGTCTAGACTAGGGTTTAAATGCGCGCCATTAGCACATATTAGCAGATATATTTTAAAAGTCTGATGCAGACAAGGCATAATGCCTTTCATATGAAAAGCTGGCTGAGTGAAGTCCTTGGGTATTGGCATTTATGCTGGTTTGTCTGTTTTAGAGTTTTAGAACAAGTTAGCCAAGGGCTTGCCTGCAAAGACCAGTTAATTTGGAAGAAGGTAGGCTATGAATTTAAAGGGCTACATCTATTCCAGGGCTCAAAACAAAAAGGTTT